TGGTGGATGAACCTTTTAATGTATTGTTGGATCCTATTAGCTAGGATTTTGTTGAGCATTTTGGAATCCATATTCATCGGGGATATCGGTCTGAAATTCTCCTTTTTGATGGGGTCTTGCCTGGTTTGGGGATTAAGGTAATGCTGGTCTCATAGAATGAGTCTGGAAATTTTCCTTCTGTTTGTATTTTTTGAAACAGCTTCAGTAGAATAGGTGTTATTTCTTTTTTGAATGTTTGGTAGAATTCGCCAGGGAATCCATCAGGCCCTGGACTCTTGTTTTTTGGGAGGTTTTTGATCACTAGCCATCAGATTTTTCACCATCCTGCTGCACGTGTCCTCTAGGGACCGTGAACGTGCTGTGAGCATTGACGTGGGGAGGACACATATATTTTAGCAAGTAGGTAGATTGCAGATATGGAATCTGCAAATAAGGAGAGTCACCTGGATCTCTGTTTTGATCAGTCTGGCTGTTTCTTTCTTTCTCACTGGCTTCCTTTTTTTTTTTTTTTTTTTTTTACAGGGCAGTCAAGGCACAATTTTGTGATTTTACCAGCAGTAGTCCTTGTAGCAGGAGTGGCATTTTTTTTGCTGTTTAGAAAAGGTATGTATACTTTCTTTCAAAAAAATAAGTTTTCAAACTCAAATTGGGTTTTCAAAGGCCAGAAAATTAATAGTTTAGAGACTAAAGCAAAGTTTGGAATTTTAAGCGTTTGGAAGAAAACCAAGCCTTTTGTTTCGTTTTGTGTTCCTTGTTGTCCGAGGTTGCTGGGTCTGCCAGGTTTGCCAAGATTTTGCATGATCTTAAGGGCAGAAGGAATCCTCAGGCCATAGGGGGCTTTACAGACATGGAAACACAGATGGATGTTCCCCGGCCTCCTTCTACTTGTGGTCTGCTTCAGCAGATATTATATCTCTGGTCTCCAAGCTGGATTTTGCAAAAGACCACTTGCTCTTGGCTGCCAGGGCCGTACTTTCCACGTCTTCTAGCCCAAAAGGAGGTCCCGGGGAAAAGGCAGCTGTTGTTGGGGTTTGGTGACTTGGGAGTGGGTCATAATGACCTGCTATTACCTGCACTGTCTTCCTGAGCCATCCTTGCTTCCTTAGAGATGTGGGCCAGCCTGGAAGGCAGCCCATGTGCCCTGGAGAATGGGTAACCTGCCCCCGATCCTGTTCTTTCCTGGGGACAAGAAGCCCCTCCTCAAGCCCCAGGGGACACAGACCAGGATCCAGGCTGTAAATGTGAAGACCAGATGTTCTTGCAGCCCCGACACTTTCCATATCCGCTTTCTCCAGAAGGCTCTTTGCAAGACTGATTTGTCACTGCCACAGGGAATGCGGAAGAGTCAGCTTTCAGCCACGTGATGGTGTGTAGGACCCATGTCATTTCACATTCACGTCTTGGACTAACTTAGATTTCACGTTCCCTAGACCTGCACTGCTCAGTACCGTAGGCACTGGCCACGTGGAGTGGTTTAAATATAAAATCAAATTCATTAAATTTAATTTAAAATTTCTTTCTTCATTTGAACTATCCACATATGAAGTGCTCGGTAGCCACAGAGAGCCGGCGGCTACCGTAATGGGACGGACCAGATAGAGAAGAATTCCATCATTGCAGAAAGTTCTGTCCGTCATTGCTGTCCTAGACTACTGTTTGCACATTGTCACTAGAATATGGCGTCTCAGGAATACTGTGTCCGTATTACAGGTTGCAAATACCACAAAGATCCCTAGGTAGTAGATTACAAGTCAGCTGACTCTCCTCTAAATAAGATAGAAAAATCAGCTGAAGAAAGTTTTGAGGCTTCATTACCAATGAGTAAAATATTGGGGCAATGTTCTTGTAAAAAATTATTTTTAATCCCCAAATAGCAGCATCATTGTTAATCGTCTCCATAACAGATTGGTCCCCAGAAACCAAAATCATTTTCCACTCAGAGTTCTTGTGGGTCTGTCACCAGAATACCTGAACCAAAAAAAGGTGGTACTGAGTGCCCATGTAATTCCAAAACAGTCGGTTCATTTAGCTTTTAAAAAAAAGTTCACTCAGTGGAGAGAAAGTTACTCCCATGGGCAGTACCGGTAGCTCTGTATAACTTGAAAAAAAAAAAATTGTCTTGAAAAAAATTACTTCAGCCAGCTTCACAATCGTAAAGCCATAACTTGGGAAAGGGTGAGGCATTTGGCACGGAGCCTTCTGAGGGGGACAGGGGAACGTAAGCAGCTGCCGCGGTGAATTGTAGTTGACAGACACCACGGTAAGTTCAGTCGAGCCTGTGGACTAGGCTGCTGGACCGCTAGTCTGGCTCCAGACAAGGGCTGATGCCTTTTATGGGAGGACACTGATGGGTACGTGTGCGGAAGCCATATCTTAATGTCCAAAACGGCGCTGTCCAAAATGGTAGCCATGAGCCACCTGCGGCCGTTGAACCCTTGAAACGTGGGGGTCCAAACAGATGTGCTGAAATAGAAATTACACACTGAATTTATAAGACTTAATACTTGAAAAGGGCCACAAAATATCTCATTAGTAATGTTTATTTTGATTGCATGTTAAAATGATAATATTTTTGACACGTTGGGCTTACTAAATAAAGTATTTTGAAAATTATTAAAGTGTCCAAATTAAACATTAAAATTAATTTCAAAATTAAAACATTTTGAAAATGAATTTCACCCAGTTCTTTTTCCTTTGTAAGGTGACTGCTAAAATTGTTAAATTACCCCTGTGGCTCACATATTCCTGGGCAGTGCTGGCCCACGCCATCCGAGCCTGCCCTACATCTTTAGCCTTATGCATGAGCTGCTGCAGAAATAGCCATTGTTGTTCAGTGTTTGGTTTTCTTTTTCTGTCACCTGATGAGCAGTTTTGAGAACACCTCTTTGGACCCCCTCTGTAGTTAGTTTAACTTAAGCATTTGGAAGAGCAGGAAGACCAACTTGACAGGTGTGGTTTAGAGTGTTCCAGATTCAGGTCTCCCATCAGGCAGGCTGTAACTGCAGATTTCAGCTTTGCTTTTCAGTCCTTTAACTGAGTTGAAAATTCCTTTGTTTGTAGGTTGTCTGAAATGTGGCAGAAACACAGAGAGAACCGAGTAAGTACCCTGTAGACTGTACAGTGGGTAAGTTACATATCATGTAGCAGAACCAGAACAGCCCTGATGTAGAGCGCCTCTTCCTTGGGGACCATCTGTCTATCTGTCACTTGTCTTGAATGGTAATATGTAGCATCAGCGCTGGGCTCGGCATTTTCCGTGTAGCACCTCCTCACACCCTCACGATGGGCCTCGCACAAGGGTGTCATTACCACTTGCTTAGAGACAGCGACTATGAGAAGTCAGGTCCCATTGCTAAGAAGCAGTCGAGCTGGGATTCAAATCAGGGTCTTCAGACTCCGAGGGTTATACTGTTAGCCTCCATCTCCCATCCCAGGAGAACTGGACCAAGGATTGGGTTCACTTCGGGAGCCAGGGTCAGAGCTGGGCCTGTATCACAAACAAAAGCTAGGATCCAGACACTGTTAGGAGCAGCAGTGCTGACTAAGGAGGCTATGGAGTATCCAGAAGGATCCCTGTCCCCCACCACGTCCTTGGCAGTCAGGAGGCAAGGGCCCAGGAGCTGGGCTTTAGGGGGTGATGGGAAGAGTAAAGGCTCAGGGCTGTAAAGGGCGGGATAGGGAGTGGAAGAGTCATCCTCTTTGGGGCAGCAGATATCGGTGAATAGAGGGAGCTGGGGCTGAACTGGCAGGCTTGGCCATGCCAAGATACTGAGAGAGAGTTGCCAAGAGGCTTGTGTCATTTTTTCCTGGGAAACCACTGAGGATTTCTGAGCAGAGCTCTGCGTTAGACAAAGCATATGGGGAATTAACAGACAAGAGGCTGGAGAAGGGGACACTGGTTGGTGGACAATGAAACAGTGCAACCAAGCAGAGAGGGCCTGAATCGTGGTGGTCGTGACAGAGTGGCCGTGAGGGCTAGGTGCGGGAGGAAGTGTGGTGGTCATATTAACGAACATTCCAGCTGAGAGGGCGGGCTCCCCATGGTGGGGGTGGGGGTTCCCTGCCAGCTCATCTCTCCCGGGCCTCGGACAAGTCTCTTCAACTCTCTGTGCCTCAGTTGTCTTCTATGGAGAATGGGCATAACAAGAGTAGAGAAATAATAGTGTTGGTAATAATAGCATAGAAATAGCAACATGTATAAACAAGTTAATAAAAATAAAATGCTTTGAACTGTGACTGGCTCAGAATGGGGCTTAATAAATGTTACTGTGCTATTATGGTTATGAATATTATTATTATCCAGGAAAGAGGCCAGAAGTGGCAGGAATTCCGACGGTTGGTGCCTGGAAGATGGTGGCCCCACCAGGCGTACGGAGGAGTCGGGCGCGGCTCTGGCTTGGGAAGCTGGGTCTGTGCTGTGACGGGCTGAGTGTGGGGTGGGTGCATTACTTGGGTCCTAGGTCCGGCGCATGACTGCAGAAGTGGCTTTAGGGGCTGTGGGTGGAGCTACAGCATCTTCATCAGGACAGTAACTGATGCTCTGAGCGTCTGAGATCACCAAGAAAGCCAAGCCCAGGCAGAGTGGAGGAGCCAGGGTGGGACAAGTCCAGGAGGAGAGCCAGGGTGGCCCCCTGCTAGAGACCCTCAGGGAGGTGGCTGCGTACTAAAGGGGAGGAGAGGCTAAGGAGGAGGGCGGGTGGTCAAGACCTTTGGCTTTGTTGAGTGAGTTGCTGATTTTCAAGAAAGCCATGGGGTCAACGGTTGGGGTGGGAACGAGGACGGGCCTCTGCGCAGCAGGGAGCACCTGCGTGCCACGGGGCCCGGGGACTCAGAGGGTCCCTTTCTCCCCAGCTGCTGGCCGGGACACGCCCAGGTTACCAGGGAGGCCGGCGGTGGCAGGAGGCCATGCGGAGGGGGCTGGAGAGGGGGTGAGCAACGGTAGGTGAGGAGAGGAACAGGTGTGCCAGCAGGGAAGTGGGGAGAGAAAGACGACACGGTGGCTGTTACAGATTGGCGGCAGTAAGCATGAGTGCCAGGGCAGGGCGAGATTCCCGGTGGGGCTCTGCTGAGACCCAGCTGGTGACAGCAGAGGAGCGCCATCAGAAGCATGACTGCCGACGTCATGCAAGGCAGGCTGTGAGCCAGAGGTGATGGAGCATCCCAGAGCTCATGCCCTCGCCGGCTCCGTGAAAACGGAGGTTACTGCAGTGAGGTCAGGCACTGTGTTAGTTGATGGTTTGAGATCATGTTCCCAGGGAGGCCTGACATTGTGTGGGATTCAGAGAAGGGATACGTTAGGGCTCCCACCCTGGAGCAGCTTGTGGGCACACTGGAGAGAGAGGACGAGAACATAAACAGTTAGAAGGGCGGAGGCACGGGGTAATGGGCCAGAATGTGTGGTGGGGATGGTCAGGGCTGGGCAGCCAGCCGAGGGGAGGTGAAGAGGCCAGAATCATCATGAAGACTCTGAGCGGGGGAGGATGGGAGCTGGATCTTCAGAGCAGGGGTGGAGTGGAAAAGGCATTCCAGCTGGGAGAAGCAGCAGAGGCAAAGACATGGAGGGGAGCTAAACCTCGTGGTTTATTTGACGGAGAGATTGGCCTACTTAGCATCAAGGTGAGCAAGTGGCAGAAGAGTGAAGTCAGGGGCATGAAGATGGAACGATATGGGAATAGGGAGCCATTGTAGGCTCTTGAGCAGGAGAGTTCCGAAAAGCATGAAAAGCACTGCTTTGGGATAATGAGTCTAGGAAGGTAAAAATGACATCTGAGGGTGACATCCTGGGGAGAAACCTGGGTGGCTTGGGGCTGGGTGTGGGAGCTCACATTTCTTGGTGTATTTTTGTTTACTCTTCAGATTTTGTACTTTGTGTATTTACTACCTATTTAATAATAATTTTTAAATTTAAAGAGCCCACTGTGGCTGCAGTGGGACTTCCTTAAACTCAATTATTAAAAGAGTTACATATATGGGGGAGGGGGGAAGGGTTGGAAGAGTAGTGGGGGAGGGGACACGCATAACCAGGAACAAAGGCCAAATTGTCACATTTCTGTGAGGACAGTGTCTGAAAGAGCTAGACCCAATCAGAAAATATCCAAGGACAGCCAGTAGATTTCAGATAGCTGAGAGAAAAATGGACATGACATCACACTTTTCACCCACACAGGCCAATGTCGACAATTTCCAGGAGTGCTGGTAGTCTCTGTTTTTGTGTAAATGCCTAGAAAACAGGTCACAAAGTCACCCAAGTTAAAAAGGGAGCAGAGAACCCTGTTTCTGTGGGAAGAAAGATCTGCAGTCTGTAGGCCGTGTCTCAGCCTGAAGGGGAGCTGGAGAGGCAGGCCCCATTCATTGGCAGGAGGTGCAACAGGTGTGGGTGTGGGTGAGGAGAGCCCCCTGAAGGGGGGGGTGGGGGGGGTGGGGGGAGCAGCAGGGCACCGAGCCTTGCACCTGCAGAGCTGCTCTAAGGAGTCCTGTGCCTGCTGGGACAGGTTTGGGAAGCAGCGCCCGCTTCATCCCCCTCAAAAATTCACTGCACCCATTTTCACGTTCTATTAGATTATTTTTTTTAAGGTTTTATTTATTTATTTGAGAGAGAGCACAAGCAGAGGGGAGAGGCAGAGGGAGAGGGAGAAGCAGACTCCCCTCTGCAGGGAGCCCGATGTGGGACTCGATCCCGGGACTCGGGGATCATGACCTGAGCCGAAGGCAGACACCCAACTGGCTGAGCCACCCAGGCGCCTATTAGATTCTTAATAAGGAAAGCTCATAATTTGCTCCCTTTTACCTAACCCCTGTGACTCCAGCGCTCACTGTTTATGATCTCTGGTCACTAACGGGGTACAGATATTTGGGGAACCCTGGTGTGGTCTGGGCTGCGCCTGGCAGATCTGGTCTGACCTATGAAGTACAGACTGTAGGGAAGGCACTAGGCAAGAACGGGAACCTCAGTTTGAAGGGGCGTGTCCAGGCAATTCTGCAGCTTTGTGCCTGGGCTCATTTCCTCTGAGCTAACTGGGGCTGGTCCTGTCACCACTGCAGAGATGACTCATCAGGAAGAGAGGCTGAGGGAGGGGCAGTAACTATCCCCAGGAGACTCATGTGGCAAGGAGCTGATAACTGCCACAAAGAGAAGCAGCTCATGTAAGGGTCCTTAAGGTCTCAGCTTTGTTCTTTGGAGAGTTCGATGACACTCAAAGACTGAGTTGGTTTGAGGAAATGGGCTGTTAACGAGTGCCTCGCACTGAAGGTGGTACTTCCTGTGGGCCTCCAGCTACCATCCCAGGAGGGCCCAAGACCAGTCTCCCTCCATCTCTGCTCCCCGGAGCCCTTGGCTTTGATGGCTTTATTGCAAAAGGGCTACTCGCATTAGACTAGGAGGGTAATTTGGTCTGCATTTTACAAGTTACTAACATGAGATCTTTTTTTTTTTTAATAGCCCCAGTTGACCGGTACTACAAGATGAAATCAAATGTATAGCGACTAAGTTATTTAAATAATGGAACAAAAAGCCATCTGATTTGCCATTCAAGTTTATGTCATCTTCGAGGACATTTTGGAATTCTAATCTGAAGTGGCCCTCCACCAGAAGGTTCTTTTCTGGAAGAAATATCAACTAACAACCAGCACCAGTATCTACCCTATCCCTGCTGTGATCTATGACTAGATACTGTAGATGACTTTTGCCTCTCAATTTTTTACTATAAATTTTCTATCAGAGAGATATAAATTTGTAAATATGTAAATATATACATAAGTGGTAGATGGTTTGGCTTTTTTTTTTTTTTCCTCTTAGGTCAGAAAAATATTCTGAGTCACACACCTCAGGAGGTGAAGGTTTTTTCCTAAAATCTATCTTCCGCTTCTCTTTTGTTTTAGAGGGAAAAGAATTCATTGCAGGATTGGTAGTAGAGTGAGGGAGGAGATGGACAAAGTACGTTCCGCGTGCTGGGTCCGTTGCTCTTGACAGGAGGCGAGGACACAAGGGTCTTTTCGTTTATTTTGCTAAGACCAGATCGCCGCCATCCACACGCAGGGAGACTTGTCTCATGAAGGTCTCTTAACTCACTCAGTGTCTGGTGTTAGCTGTCACATGGGCAGGGAAACAGCAGAGAACTCTTAAAAACTGTAAAGTCCTATACAAATGCAGAACAGAAGCATCTCCTGAATGAGGAAGCAGACGGCCCTGGCTGTCCCTCAGGTGGCCGTCATATATACGAACATCCCAAGCCCTTAGCTCCTGAACCCACACTACCCCTGGAGCTCCTGCCACATGAGAGTCTTCAGCCTCAAAGAGGAAATACTGCTTTTTCACACCAAGACAAAGTGTGCTGAAAGCCGCGTGAGGCAGCTCTCTCAGGGCCCCTCCCAGGTGTCAGCAAGAATGAAGCAGGGTCCTGGGCGCCCTGAGTACTGCTGGGAAGACCCACCCCTACTTCTCCCTGGTCCTCCCACCTCTGGGCAGCAAAGCTTCCTATCAAAATGTGTGTCTGGCTCATCCTGTGAAACCCTTTATTCCAGGCCCTGTGGGGAGCCTGGGACTCCCAGAACATCCTTCGCCTTCCAGACCGTTGTCTCTAGATGCTCCGTAAGGCCCTTTCTGACCCCTCCATCAACGGCAAAATTCCTCGTATTCTCTGCTATGAATGTTCCCTCCCCTTTCTGTTCTCACCGGAACCTGACTCTCCCCGAGGGATGCTGCTTCCTGAGGCCCTCTTAAGGGCCGGTTCCTTCCTCTCCTGTGCTCCTTGGACCCTGGGCAAGAGGGAGGGCCGGTGTCCTCCTGGCTCCTGTCTGCTTCCAGCCCATGCCTCCTTCCTCAGTTCCAATGGGCAAACCAGCAGATCACCACCACCACACACCCCTTTTCTGGTTATCTTTGTTGTTCCTCAACCTGTGAAAATTTTAGCGCTAGGTCCAGATCACTCTTTCCTAACGCTCCTCCCTTCAGTATCTGAGTGTGCTTTCAGAACCCCCAGGTCCAGTGCCCTGGCATGGTCTGCCCCAAGCATCTTGCCTCCCTCCCTTCCCAGCAGCCACCGTCCTGGTCTTGCCCCTGACCTTCCACCACCAATGCCCGCAGCCCCTCACAGTCCCTGTTAAAAGCATCCCTGCTCCGCTCTCCGTCTTACACGTCTCTCCCTTGGCGCCCCACTCCACAGACCCTGCAGCCCCAACAGGTCCTCCAAGCCAGTGACCCCACGGCCCCCCACTGGCCTGTAGCCGCTGCGACTTCTCGTTCCCCGAGTCGTGCTGGGTCTCCATGTTCATCATGAGAGCAACCTGCTACCTTCACTCTTTTACCCTGCGGTTCATCCTCCTCATTTGGCCAAATCCCAACCCTGGGCAGAGTCACCTCTGCTGATTCCCTCCCTGCACCTGAGCTGCTAAGGACCCCTGCAGGCAAAGACAGCCCTGGGCTGAGGAGTGTCATCTCAGTGACTGCAGACCCCCAGGGGGCTCCCAGTGGCTCTCAGCCTCGCTGCATTGCCCTGGTCTGCTCACTGTCTCCTCCCCTCTCTTCCTAGACCTGCAGCCCTGTGTCCTCATGCTCTGCTGCTTGCTTCACTTCCTCTGTCACTGAAACAAAAGCATCCAGAAGAACCTCCCACCACATGTCTACACACCCAACTGCATCGGCAGCCATGTCCTTTGCCTCCCCTCCTGTGACTGCATGTGAACCCTCCTTTGCTCCTCCTGAAACCTCCATTCTCCCCCCTTGTCTTATTCTGCTGGGGCTGCCATGACAAAATACCAGTGGCTTAAAAAACAAATTAGACTGGGTGACTTAAAAAAACAGAAATTTATTTTCTCACAGTTCTAGAGGCTGGAAAGTCCAAGATCAAGGTGCTGGCTGGTTTGGCTCCTGGTGAGGGCTCTCTTCCTGGTTTGCAGGCGGCTGCCTTCTCGCTGTGTCCGCTCATGGCTGGGAAGAGCCCTGGTGTCTCTCCTCTTCTTCTGAGGACACCAGCTCTACCAGAGCAGGTTTCTACCCTCAGGGCCTCATGTAACCTTTGTCACCTCCTCACGGTCCTGTCTCCAAATAGAGTCACATGGGCATTAGGGTCTCAACATGTGAGTCTTAGGACAAAAATATTCCATCTATGACACTGCTTCTGTGTGGGATCCCAGCTGCCCTCATCTACTTAAGGAGATCACTCCTTGTCTACCTCTCTCCCGCATCATCAGCATTTACCTCTCTGCTACGTCATACAAACAGACTGTCATTTCCCATATCTCCAAAAAAACAAAATACTCTTTATTCACTTCCCCATCTAGCTCTTTTCTCATTTTTCCACTATCTTTAACGTAAAAGTTTCTCAAAAGAAATGATCTGTACTTCCTTTTTTCTGACTCCTCTCCTCCTTTCTTGAACCCACTTCAATCAGGCTTGTCAATGTTACCAGAGACCCCCCCTCCCCCAGCCATGGGATCTGGTGGGTAGCTCTCCAGCCTCATCTTGCCGTGTCTGTAAGCAGCATTTGGCTCAGTGGAGTAGTTCCCACGTACTTAGTGCTTTGTAGATGCTAGGTTCTGTGGGGTCTGCGACAGGAAAGCTTGCAATGTGATAGGGCAAACAGATCTGTGAGCACTTGTGATGAGTGTACTAAGTCCTAAAACAGAAGTATAGACAAAGAACGAAGGAATTACAACCATATGATCCAGCTGTTCCACTCCTTGGTGTATGCCCAAGAGAAAAACATGTCCACATATATGAATGTTCATAGATCATTACTCGTAATAGCCAAATGGAACAATCCATATGTCCGTCAACTGATGAAAAGATAAACGTGGTACATTCAAACAATGGGATAGTAGTCAGTGTAGAAAGTAATGAGGATCTGAGAGCGCCCGGGAGGCTCAGTCGGTTAAGCAAGTGTCTGACTCTTGATTGCGGCTCAGGTCTTGACCTCGGGGTCATGAGTTCAATCCCCATGTTGGGCTCCCCGCTGGGTGTGGAGCCTACTTAAAAAAAAAAAAGTAATGAGGGTCTGATATGTGCTACCACATGGGTGAGCCTTGAAAACGTGCTCAGGGCGCCTGGGTGGCTCAGTTGGTTAAGCGACTGCCTTCGGCTCAGGTCATGATCCTGGAGTCCCGGGATCGAGTCCCGCATCGGGCTC